GCCTACACAGGGTGGCTAGGACAGATTCTTTCACTTCTGCTTTTACTTTCTTGCCTCAATACCAATAGCCCCACTGGCAGCTCTGAGAAGCCATCTTTGCATTTTTCCTGGGCCGGCTTCCTTCTGGTCACAACCACCTCGGCTGCACTCCTGCTCTGCTGCTGCGGACTCCCAACTTCAGCAGCTTTATCACCAGAGTCCCGAACTCTCACTTTCTTTTCCATCCCCTGCATCGGATCACCGACATGCCGCAGCATGTGGGACGCAGGGGTGGACACCAGCTCGGAGATCACCACCAAGGACTTGAAGGGGAAGGAAGTTGTGCATGAGGCAGAGAATGGAAGAGATGTCCTTGCTAATGGGACACTAATGAGGAAAATGGGGAGCAGGAGCCTGACAATGAGGCAGATGAAGACGAGGAAGAAAGTGATGGTAAAGAAGAGGATGGAGATGAAAATGAGGAAGCTGAGGCCACCAAGGCAAACGGGCAGCTGAAGATGGTGAGGAGGAGGATGATGTGGATACCAAGAAGCAGAAGACTGATGAGGATGACTAGACAGCAAAAAAGGAAAAGTTAAACTTAACAATAAAAAGCCACCATGACCTATTCACCCTCCACTTCCTGTCTCAGAATCTAAACGTGGTCACCTTGTGTAGAGAGGCCTGTCTGCCCGCCCACCGCAATGCCACAGCAGATGACATGCGCTTTTCACTACCAAATCAAAACCACGAGAATTTGCAACAGTGGAGGAAAAAAGAACCAAAACTTTCAAGGCCCTGCTTTTTTTCTTTTTTTTTTTTTTTTGAGACAGTCTCACTATGTCGCCCTTGGTACAGTGCCGTGGTGTCACAACTCGCAGCAACCTCCAACTCTTGGACTTAAGCCATTCACTTGCTTCCGTCTCCCTCATAGCTGGGACTATAGGCGCCCACCACAACACCTGGCTATTTTTCTGTTGCAGTTGTCATTGTTGTTTTGCAGGCTCAGGCCAGGTTTGAACAGCCAGTCTTGGCGTATGTGACTGGTGCTGTATCTCTGTGCTACAGGTGCCGAGCCCCCTGCTTTTTGTTCTTAAAAGTACTTTAGAAAAGAAAATTTGTTTGTATTTTTTATTTACATTTTATATTTTTGTACATATTGTTAGGGGTTAGTCTTTTTTTTATTTTTATTTTTTTTGAGACAGAGCCTCAAGCTGTCACCCTGGGTGGAGTGCTATGGCTTCACAACTCACAGCAACTTCCACATCTTTGAGGGGCTTTCCCTGGGCTCAAGTGATTCTCCTGTTTCCACCTCCCAAGTAGCTGGGACTATAGGTGCTTTCCACAACATCTGGCTATCTTTTGGTTGCAGCTGTCATTGTTGTTTGGCAGGCCGGGGCTGGATTCAAATCCCACAGCTCAGGTGTATGTGGCTGGCACCTTAGCCTCTTGAGCCATAGGCGCTGAGCCTGAACAATAACTTTTAAGTCCACTTGTTAATATGTTGTTTAGGATATTGCATCTACATTTATAAGTGAAATATGTCTGTAATTTCCCTTTATAATAATCTATTTTTCCAGTTTTAATATCAGGTAGATCCAGAAGTAGTAGAATGAATTTGAAGGATTTCTTCTTGTTCTATTAGGATTTGGCAAGATCTGTTTTTTTAAATTATCTTCTATTTTTATTTATAAATATTAGTTGTTTATTTTTTGCAACTTTGAAAAGAAAAAGAATATTCCCAGAAATAATTCTCCTCACTATTTAGAAGTCTTTTCTTTGGGTCTGTTTTTTCTCTCTTACCATCAAAAGTTTTCATAATTCCAGTACCTGATATCTCATGTGGTTTCTTTGTTTTCTTGCTATAATTTTACCTTTTCATAATTTAAAGTTTACTTGTATCTGGGATTGAGGCAGAACTTTGCTGTAAATTATGAGATATGGATTGTTCTTTCTGATCATCCATAGTTGATGCTATAATATGCTTCCCAGATTCTCATAAATCCCCCACCTTTGCTGAGTTCTTTTCTAGAAATTGTCCCTGGCTAAAGAGAATCATCTCATTCAAGGTTCATGTTTGTGGGGCAGCAGATATCCAAAGCCTGGCCATTGCCTCAATTTGAGACATCTTTGAAGGGCTTTCCCAACTGCAGAGGTTCCTCAAGGGATCAACTGAGATGTTTCTTGGGACTTTGATAGAGTTCAACTTCTTGCTCTGTTTATCCTGCTTCATTCTTCCACTCTCACTGGTCCTCATCTAGATGACACCGCCCAATAAATACACTTCTTGCATGTACATTTCTATCACAGAGTCTGCTTCCCAGGAAACCTAGACTGCATTGTAACCACTGTTATGTTATTTAATGTACATAATATTTTGCACGGAAAATATATTTCATTATCCTTGTGCTTGGACATAAAAATTAACTCATATAGTAAAATTTGTCCTTTGTTTCAATAAAAAAAAAAAATATGAAGTATTCAAGACCTTTTGAACCTAGACCACAAGTCATATTCACAGATTTTTGATTGGCCAGAGCTAACAAATGCAGTTCAGATCCAAGGTTTAGAAACATTACATCTTTTCTTTTTCTTTTTTTTTTTCTTTTTGAAACAGAGACACACTCCATCACCTGGGTTGAGTGCTGTAGTGTCATAGCTCACAGCCACCTCTAACTCTTGGGCTCAAGTGGTTCTCTTGCCTCAGCCTCCCGAGCAGCTGGAACTACAGGTGCCCATCACAACGCTTGGCTATTTTTTGTTTTTTAAGAGAGTAAGTCTCATTCTGGCTTATGCTGGTCTCCAACTTGTGAGCTCATGCAACCCACCTGCCTTGGCCTCCCAGAATGCTAGTATTACAGATGTGAGCCACTGTACCTGGCCCAATATTCTGAAATTTTACAAAAGGTATAGATACAGAAAGGAATGAAGAATTGCTGCCATGTTTGGCATTGATAATATCATGCCTTTTCTTATAGATGAGATGAATATAACTCTTTCAAGTTAAGGAACTAATCAGCTGGACTGGGACTCAAGATCAACTCTGCTTGACTTCAAAGCTCATGCACTTCTGTAAAGCACATGACTCAAGCAGCTTCTCTAGGACTTTGAGGTTCTGGAGAGTGACTCTTCTGCAGTATAAGTAGGATTCCTTTGAGATTCACATCCATCTAGTACCCATCATCACTGGGAATAATGTCTTCCATTGAATGCTTCTGAAACATCTTCAAAATACTTGCAACAACGTGGGAAAATAGATGAATATTGAGTTTAAAAAATCAAAGGCCAGGCTGGGCATGGTGGCTCACACCTGTAATCCTAGCACTCTGGGAGACTGAGGAGAATCCCTTGAGTTCAGGAGTTCAAGGTCAGCCTGAGCAAGAGTGAGACCCTTGAAAATTAGCTGGCAGGCACTTGTAGTCCCAGCTCCTTGTGAGACTGAGGCAGGACAGTTTGAGTTCAGGAGTTTGAGGTCACTGGAAGTTAGGCTGACACCATGGCACTCTAGCCTGGGCAACATAATGAGACTCTGTCTAAAATAAAAATAAAATTTTATTTTTAAAAGTTATTTATTTTTTTTTCTTTTTTTGCGACAAAGTCTTTGTTGCCCTCAGTAGAGTACCATGGCATCATAGCTTACAGGAACCTCAAACTCTTGGGCTGAATCCATCCTCTTGCCTCAGCCTCCCAGGTAGTTGGGACTATAGGCACCCACCACCATATATGGCTAGTTTTAGAGATAGGGTCTGGCTCTTGCTCAGGCTGGTCTTGAACGTCTGAGTTCAAACAATTTGCCCATCTTGGCCTCCCACAGTGCTAGGATTACACTGCCGGCCTTGAATAAATGTATTTCTTTCTTTTCTTTCTTTCTTTCATTGACACAGAGTCTCAGTTTGTCAACTTGGTAGAGTGCAATGCGGTCATAGCTCACACCAAACTCAAACTCTCAGGCTCAAGCAATTCTCTTGTCTCAGTGTCCTGAGTAGTTGGGACTATGGGTGCCCACCACAACGCCTGAAAATATTTTTGTTTAGCAGTCCCGGGCTGGGTTCGAATCCACCAACCCCAAGCATATGGCCAGTGCCCTAACCACTGAACTATGGGTGTCCAGCCAATAAATGTATTTTTCTTTTTTCTTTTTTCTTTTTTTTGGCCAGGCTGGGTTTGAAGCCGCCACCTCCGCTGGCCACCTCAAGCATATGGGGTTGGCGCCCTAATCCTTTGAGTCACAGGCGCCACCCAATAAATGTATTTCTTGTTAGAGGGTGTTGAGTTATACAGAAATGCTTGTAGACAGGTATGCATGCCATTGGTGCTTAAACTCATAGTCCCCCTATGGAGAAGGAGACTGATAACCGCAGCCTGACCATTAAGGTCAAGGCCAAATTGCTAAATAAGAGGCCAGGCAGTGGCTCCAGCCTTTAATCTTGGCTCTGGGAGGCGGAGGTGGGTGGATTTCTTGAGCTCAGGAGTTCGGAGACCACTCTGAGCAAGAGCAAGACCCGGTCTCTAAAAAACAGCGGTGCGTTGTGGCATGAGCCTGTAGTTCCACCTACAGACGGGGAAGAGGCTCACTTGAGCCCAAGAGTTTGAGGTTGCTGTGAGCTATAAGCCCAGACACTCTACCCAGGGTGACAGAGTGAGACTCTATGAAAAAAAAAAAAAAAGATAAAAGAAAGGAAAGGAGGGAGAAAGAGAAAGGGAGGGGAAAAAAGGAGGACAGAAAATGGGAGCTCAGAAACGGTCCTTAAGGCGTCCTTTAGTCCTACCTAGGGTAACATCACCCCCTCCTCCATTAGAGGAAAGGAAGCCGGGAGTCTTATCCAATCCGCGGCGCTGACGTGAGATCTGTCCAATCACGTGCGCACCCGGAGAGGTGGGTACAGCCTCCACATTGTCGCGGGGACTTTGTTTGCAGGTGCCTTCCGGACTTGGTCTAGACCTCGGGCTTCAGCTCCAGGGCTCCAGATCCTGCGCTCCCGGAGGCTCAGCTCTGCCTCAGCCTCTGTTCCTGGTACCCTATGGGTACTGGAAGATCTGTCCGGAGGATGTCGGGAGACCCTGGAATCTGGGAAATGGTGAGTGTGCATGGATGAGTGCTCTGGGGGCGGGACCTGGGTCTTCCTGCTTTGGTTGTGGAAGTCTGCGGGTGGAGACCCTGTTGGCTCAGTTCAGAACAGGGCTGCGCAGTAGTCCGGAAACCGGTGTACGTCCCACCCTTGTGTGACGCCTTGCCCGGGGTTGGAGACCTGGTCGGGCCAGCTCTGTTTCCGCAGTCTCTCGGCCCCTATTCGGCCTCGCCACCTTTGTGCTTTGAGTAAAGATCATCTGGGAGGATTCTGCCTCGGTGTGCGGGGTTGGGTGTGGAAAGTGTTGTGATCCGTGGGTCTCAATCCGGCCTTACTCTTGTTAAAAATTGACTGAGCCTCCATTAAAATGATAGAGTTTATTTGCACAAACAGCAATTCATGAACCGCGGAGCTCGCAGACGTGTTCCCCTGGGGAAGGAAACTTGGAGGAAAGACTCTTAAAACATGCCGGAGAGGGCGGCACCCATATCTCAGTTAGTAGGGTGCTGGCCACATACACCGAGGCTGGCAGGTTCGATTCGGCTCCGGCCAGCTAAACGACAATGACAGCTGCAACAACAAAAAAAATAGCCGGGCGTTGTGGCGATTTGCCTGTAGTCCCAGCAGCTTGGGAGGCTGAGGCAGGAGAATCGCTTAAGCCCAAGAGTTAGGTTGCTGTGAGCTGTGATGCTAGGGCACTCTATCAAGGGGACATAATGAGACTGTCTCAAAAACAAACAAAAAAACAGACCAGATTCAGTAACTGGTTAGAGTTTTGTGTTTACTTTATTTGGACTATCCACATGAAAATTTCCTGCTTTTGTAATCAGAATAATTAGCAATTTGTTGTTGGTTAAGCCTAAATTTTGTTTTCAAGTTGGTGCAGCAAATGATTCTTGAAAAAAATGCAGCTTAGACATCCTGAGAGCTCTCTAAAATTGGAAAACCACAGAATTAAACCTAAAAAATAAATTTCCTAACTTTGCCTTGCTCTCCACGCCCCTAACCCCACCCCAGCACTTGTGAACTCTGAAATTGCCTTACTTAACAAACAAAAGTTATCAAATGAATGCAATTGCCCTTTAGTGACTTCCTGTTGCCTGCCTCTCTAGTACTTTCAGATTTCAGAAAGAACCATTTACAAGTTAATTTCTTTCTCCCTGGTCCATTCATTCTCCCTAGTGACTATTTTCTGTCTCTCAAGAGTATGGTCTACAAACATCATCTTTTCTCTCTTCTATAAAAAAGGGTATTTAAGCCTCCACACCCCAGTGGGAAGTTGGGACAGTCTCTGTGATTTTCCTACTCACATTAATGAATTTATATGTGTTTTTTCTTGTTAATCTGTCATTTCCAGTTGATATTCAGGAAACCTTCAAATGATGAAAGGAAAGTTTTTTTTTTCCTTGTCCTTTATATTAGTACTTATGGGCTTGGCGCCTGTGACTCAAGCGGCTAAGGCGCCAGCCACATACACCTAAGGTGGCAGTTCAAATCCCCGGCCTGGGCCTGCCAAACAGCAATGATGGCTGCAACCAAAAAATGGCCGGGCGTTGTGGCGGGCACCTGTAGTCCCAGCTACTTGGGAGGCAGAGGCAGGAGACTGGCTTGAGCCCAGGAGTTGGAGGTTGCTGTGAGCTGTGATGCCATGGCACTCTACCCAGGGGGATAGCTTGAGGCTCTGTCTCAAAAAATATATATATTAATACTTATGAGAAATTAATTTGAGGACCAGGCATGGTGGCTACTATGTGTAATCCTAGCACTCTGGAAGTGCTAGGGGAAAACAAGTTGTTGGGTGTTAATATATTTGGGAGGCAATGGATGAAATGGGTCTAGATTCCTGCACTCTTACCTAAGAAAACCAAAATCTAACTGAAATTTATTTTTTTGCTTTTTGGAAAGCTGAGGCCTCCTGAGAGTCACTTGAGGCCAGGAGACCACCTGAGCAAGAGTGAGACACCATCTCTACAAAAAATAGAAAAATTAGTGGGATGTGTTGGTGCACATAGTCCCAGCCACACAGGAGGTAAGGCAGGAGAAATGCTTGAGTCTAGGAGTTTGAAGTTACAGAGAGCTGTGATAACATCACTGGACTCTTCCTGGGTGACAGAGACTTTGTTTCCAAAGAAAAAAGCAAAAAGCAATAAAATAAAATTGAGTTAGATTTTGGTTTCCTTAGGTAAGAATGCAGGGATCTGGAGCCACTTTAGCCATTGCCTCCTATATATTTTAACACCTGACAACTTGTTTTCCCTTCCATTTTTTAAATGTATAGTAAACTGGGTCTAAATCACCACTTCAAGCCTTTACTAAGGCTTGAAGTAAAATCCTACATTTTCACTTTCTTTCGCATTTATTCATTCCTCCCTGCCTCCTTCTCTCCTTCCCTCTCTTTCTTTTTTTGAAACAGAGTCTCACTCTGTCATCCCGGGTAGAGTGCTGTGGTATAACAGCTTGCAGCAGCCCCAAACTCTTGGGTTCAAGTGATTCTCTTGCCTCAGCCTCCCAAGTAGCTGGGACTACAGTTTTGTTTTGAGAGAGGATACCTGGGAAGGGCGAGTTCTAGGAGAATAGAGGTCTTCTCAAGGAGACCCCAAGGATACAACTGCAGGGTCCTCTCCATGGTGACTCAGTTATTAAGAATTTGTAGACTTAACTTCCTGGGACCTGGATGTCTCCACTTCTGTGACATCCTGTAGTTCTGTGGGGACTGGAATCCCACTTGATTCAGATTGACCAATGAGAAAGGTACCTATGGGTTGGAACTTTTTGCCTGGAGATAAAAAGGGAAAGACCAAGGCAGTTGGAGAGTGCTGCCATTTTGGACTCTTATATGCTATTCACTCTGTTGGATGAAATAAAGCCCTTTCTCTTATAAATATAGTGTTTAGGTGCTCTTTCTCCCCATTGGGTCTTGTGTTCCTGCAACATTTTTGGTTCCCTGACTGGGAAGCAAGACCACCCGAGGAGAAAACAGGCTCAGATGCACCTGGTAGTTGCTGCCAACTCTCTGGACACCCATGAGGGAGCTCCCTTTTTTTTTTTTTTTTTTTCTTTTTTGAGACAGAGCCTCAAGCTCTCCTCCTGGGTAGAGTGCTCTGGCATCACAGCTCACAGCAACCTCCAACTCCTTGGCTCACGCGAGTCTCCTGCCTCCGCCTCCCAAGTAGCTGGGACCACAGGTGCCAGCCACAATGCCCGGCTATTTTTTGGTTGCAGCCATCATTGTTGTTTGGTGGGCCCAGGCTGGATTCGAACCCACCACCTTAGGTGTATGTGGCTGGTGCCTTAGCCACTTGAGCCACAGGTGCCAAGCCCATGAGGGAGCTCCTAATTGGCCTGGGTGACATGAACCACTGATTGCCAGCCAGGGAGGCAGCTTGGCCTCCTTATGTGGATGCCATGACTGGGCAGAGAAAGGACCTCCTTGGTGGGCCTTCAGGGGGTCAAACACCGGGAGGAACTGGCATACAGGAACTGGCACCTGCACTGGGAGTCATCTAAGACAAGGTATGAGTTTTCCACTATTTGAGTGGAAGCAGGGGTCTGCTCAACCCCTAGGTATTAGATTTCTGACAGGCCTGTTGAGAGATGTAGGAGAATGTGTGGGTCTGGTGTGACTGAGATGAACTCAGAGGGTGGGGCTGGACGTCCCCTCTCAGGGCCTAAGGGAGTGTTGGTTCACTTCCTACAGCTAAGTGGCAATTTGAGTGGGAAATAGAGGCTGTCTAGTTGAGGAAAAGGTTGGAACTGTGTGCATGCGAGTTCTTGGAGACTGACTGAGATGGGTAACAATAGATGGGGTTTCATGCCACCCTCTCCCCCCGCCCTGGCCTTCACAGGGTGAAATGAATGTGTGAGTGGCCCCTTCTCCTATTCTCCAACTTTGCCCCCCTGACTATTCTGAGAGAAACTGTGTTACAGACTGCAAGATTAAAAGATCACCAAGGATGCCAATTAATTGATGCCAATTTAGGAGTCTTTATTAGGTTGGCCAACTGGCTGCCCCTCTAGATGGATACAGGGGGGAACAGTACTGGCCGTGAAGAGGGAAGGGTTTATATAGGGTAAATTTTCTGTACTATCAGGGGCTATGTGTAGTTCGGCAAGAGAGCAAGTTACAGACTTTATTTATTTATTTATTTTTGCAGTTTTTGGCTGGGGCTGGGTTTGAACCCACCATCTCCGATATATGGGGCTGGTGAAATTACTGACTTTTACAGAACCAGAAGCGGTTTGTGGCACTTGCGGTTACATAGCAGCTTACACGAGAGGGAAAACAGAACAATTATGGGGAGGGGAACAGAACAATTTTTTTTTGCAGTTTTTGGCTGGGGCTGGGTTTGAACCCACCATCTCCGGTATATGGGGCTGGTGCCCTACTCCTTTGAGCCACAGACACCACCCAAAACAGAACAATTTAAAACTGGACAGTGGGTCAGCCGGTTATAATAGCACCAGTGAGGCAGCCAGCTTCCTGTTGCTCATTACCTCAGTTTCTTTTTCTAATTCTTAACTTTCCTTACTTTCTTATGGGGGTACACTGAGGTCAATTAAGTGGGTCCTTTCACTTCATTCCTTCTCTTATGGTCAAACTAAATTTTAGTTTTATCTTCATTCTGGGCAATGTGCTGATAGTGGTTCTTAACTCCAAAATTTTACTGCCTGTACTTGTTTCTGGATATAGGAGGTTAATGTTTCACATCTCCATTTAGCACAGTGGTATGAATTCCCTTTATCACAGTCACTCTTTCCTACACTGGGGCAAGCATAATGTTGTAAAGCTTCCAGCTTTTTATTTATTTATTTATTTATTTTTGGCATTAGGAGTTTTACATTTAAATGATTTCATACAGAATCCTATCCCTTCTCCTGTCCCTTGAGGAAGGTTTTACTGAGGGGGATTTCTATTAGGTTAAATAAATTGTACATATTAATTAAAAATATATTCTCTATAGTTTCTAATCTTTGTTTAAAATGGGGTTGTGCTCTTTCTTCTTTTAAAA